CCCTCATGATAAGTATCATCCCTCAAACTTGATCCTTGCTTGATGGTTGGCGAAAATGTTGCAGTCGATTGATCGTTGGTGAAGATATTGCAGGCGATTAATCGTTAGCGAAAAAGTTGCAATCGCTTGATCCTTGGCGAATGAATTATAGCTGCTTGATCATTGGCAAATATATTGCAAGCTTGATTGTTGGCAAAGATATTGCACCCGCTTGATGGTTTACGAAGAAGTTGCAATCACTTAATCATTGGCGAAGAAGTTGCAACCAATTTATTGTTGGCGAAGATGTTGCAGACGCTTGATCGTTGAAGAAGATATTGCAACTGATTGATCATTAGCGAATAAGCTGTAGCCGCATGATCGTTAGTAAAGAAATTGCAGCTTTGCGAAAAAAATTGTAGCTGCTTGATCGTTGGTGAAGAAATTGTAGTCGCCGAATGTTATCCCTATATAGGCGTCATCCTCGAAAGGATGGTAGCCGTGAGGGATACTTCACCAAATTAGGTGGCCTTGTCCTACGAGGATGTGTGAGCCGGACGATATCCCTGTATAGGCGTCATCCCCGAAAGAATGGTAGCCGTGAGGGATACTTCACCAAATTAGGTGGCCTTGTCCCGCGAGGATGTGTGAGTCGGACGATATCCCTATATAGGCGTCATCCCCGAAAGGATGATAGCCGTGAGGGAAGCTTCACCAAATTAGGTGGCCTTGTCGCACGAGGATGTGGGAGCCGGATGATATCCCTATAAAGGTTTCATCCCTATAAAGGTTTCATCCCCGAAATGATGGTAACCATGAGATATAATTCATCAAATTAGGTGGTCTAGCTAGTAAAACCCTTCCTACCAGCAGGGAGGTGTTTTATTAAACATAAAAAGGAAGAGACTTTGAAAAAAAAATCTAAAGCCCTGCTAGAGGTGTTGCTTTTTTTAAGAGATTTTTTTTAAAAAAAAAAAACCCTCCTTGAGGTGCTACTTTTAGAAAAAAAATAAAAAATTAATTATTTTAAAACCTTCACGGCATGAGGTGTTAACCTTCAAAACGAAGGAGACCCCTTCTATATATAGAGGTTTTGACGGGCTTAGTGGGCTTTTGGGCTTGGACAATTTTGGACCCAGCCCAACTCTTTAACTGAATTTAAATTTATTTAAATTTAAATATTAATCCACCTGGTCTCTTGATAATTTTGGTTGTGGGCAAATTTGTGAACCAAATTGATTCCAAGCCCAATTTTCATATGACTCAATTACATATTTTAAATGTTAACTTATCTTTAATTTTAATTTATGGTTAATATATAATTAATCCCTAAATAAAATAGATAATGACGTGACCATTTATGATTGATCCAAAATTTATGGTTCTACACTGTCAATCATGAAATTAATTCTTTTATTTGAATTTATATTACATGATGTTTTCTTTAGTAATTTGATAATTTTAAAATACACCCACCATTAATAATTCGAAATCACTTTCAACTATATAAAAATCAATTTTAAGGAGGTGAATCCAAATTTACCATGACTCTCCAAACACATATATCCTAAATGATGGACAGAAAGTCATACGGTAAGTTTTCATTTGCAGATTCACTTCTACATCATACTATGCAACCAAATTATAAATTAATTATCTGCACATATTTGAAACATAATCGAGCTTTTTTTAGTACAACATGTGGGGATTTGGGATCAAACTCACAACCACTTGGTTGGAGATATATGTGAGTTATGCCCACTTTGGCTAATCGAGCTTTGATTGTACTTAAAAAAGAAAAATAAAATCAAGTTTTTTTTATTTTTATTTTTATTTAGGGGGAATAGAACTAGCAGAAAATGAAAATGAAAATATATCACGCAAGTTGATTCTATATTTTTAAGGGATGTTACTTAATTGAGTTATATTTATATCAACGAAAAAATTTCTATTTTTCACTTTAACTATTCAAGCGAGACAATTTTAAATTTATAGTTTCACTCTAAACCTAAAATAGGGGTTAAAACAATCATCTTTAAAATGAAATTAGAAAAACTGAACGCGAAATTAATTAATAAAACATACCAAATTGAACCAAACAAAATACTCAAAATTAGGTTTAAGAAATTCCCACGCACAAGCATTTAAAATACCTCAATTTAGTCACAAAATCGAGTAGATTGTACTAAAACTTCCAAAGTCTTATTCCAACCCTGAAATTTCGTGGATCTTCGAAAGGAAGATGTTGGAATAAAATTTTTCTTACCTACAGTTGACATAGACACAGTAAAAAATCACACAAATTCAACATTAAAATGATAAACCCAACTACACAACATGACTAGAAGAGCCAATACCACAAAAGAGTCCCAATCCAACATCAACAATCCCCACAACTAAAAATAAAAGCTTCAAAGAAGAAAAAAAATATATACATATAATGTATTAATTATTTCACCAACGTAACTTTAATTGTGTTTAGAGTTCAACTTAATGAAATTGAAAGTTTCAAGTTAAAAATTTGACTCATTAAACTAAGTACGGTAGTAAAGAAATTGAATTTTCACAAATTTTTTTTTGGATAATTATCTATAGAATTTTAAAAATTTAAAACCTATATAACACAAAACTTTTAAATAAACGCTTTTCAAAAGTCATACTTAACCCATTCTTGGTTGTATGGGATGTTTTAAAGCGAGAGAGATGTAATGTAATGTAATCCAAAATTCATTATATATATTTCATTGGTAGATCAACAATATACATGGCTGCCTTGCCTTACCACCAAGGGAGATAAATAAAATAATGTTGTACAAGCATCAACTATTTCTTGCACTTATATAGCTGAAGAGTCCGCATCATACTTGTAGCCCAAGAGGAGAAGTATCTAAGCCTTTGCTTTCAATGCCATCTTTAACTTCTGTGGTTTCCCTCTTGTAAATGTACATGCTTTACACCCAAAGAAACACTCCCAAATTGAGTGTAGATATGACCAAAAGAAATGCATAGTAGTAATCCAAGTGAGAGTCATTCAAGTTGTTTCCAATCCAACTCTTCCCGCCGTTTTCTCCGATGATCTTATCGACCACTGTGACAAGAAAGCTATTGAGGAAGTTGCCGACTCCAATACCGCTAGTGAAGAATGTAGTTCCGAGGCTCTGCATGTCTTCTGGGGACTGGTCGTAAAAGAACTCAAGCAACCCAATTGCGTTGAAAACGTCTGCAATGCCAAGGAGGATGTATTGTGGCAACAGCCAGAGGATGCTCATGGGGACGACTTCTTTTGGCTGCACAATGTGGTTGGTTTGAATGACATGCATCCTTCGAACTTCGACCGCGTAGGCAATGGCGATGGCAACAATCTGGATGACGAAGCCAATGCCTAGTCTTTGGAGGAGAGTGATTCCTCTAGGGTTTCCAGTTTTTCGACGCATGAACGGGACAAAATAGCGGTCGTACATCGGAACAGAGAGGAGCATAGAGAGGGTGACAAAGCTGCCCAGGGAGGCAGCTGGGATTTGGAAGCCATGGGAAGAAATAGTTCTATTTAAGGTGGTGCCTTGTTTGACAAAGAGGGTATTGATTTGAGCCCAAATGGTGCTTGGGATGAGGGTGGCTACCCAAATGATGACCATGCCTAAGATCAGCTTGGTTCCTTCCACCTGTGACACTGTGCATTGGGGCCTTGACGGATTTGTCTCATCTTTGATTGAAGCTTTGTCCAAGAATCTGAGGTCAAAAACGAGTTTTCCATGAGTCAATTTAACTCAACTAATAAAGCGTATTAATTTCACGAATCATTCAAGTTTATAGTTTCTAAAATAATCTCAATAAGCAAGATAAAGAAAAGTAACAATAATCTCAAAATAACTAACTATCGCTCTCACCTAGTGATCACTATCATCTATCACATCTCGTGTATATTAGTAGTCACATTAAATAATTTATCGCACCATGATTTGGATTTTGCACATAGAAGAACCATAGAATGGAGTGTTTGGCTTATTATAGGGAAGGGGGAAATATAGTGGGGTGGGAATCAGCAAATGGTGTGCCCACCATTGATGGGTAAGCTGCCGCCCGCACTTGGTGTTGTGTGGGGCGGCGCAGGGTGGGGCTGAAGAAAGCCCACTTGAGTGCTTGAGTGTGACCATTGGGAAGCAAACAATCTTCCTCGGATTGTGATATAGAAGGGAGGACAATACGTTTATGAGTTGAGCAAATTTAGTTTATTTATATGGATTCATAACGCAGGGTTCTAACACAGGACCTCCCGCTCTAATACCATCTTAAGAATGAACAAACTACCACTCAATCCATAAACCTATCTTAAGAATGAATAAATCATCACTCAACCCAAAAGTTTAAGCTAATGGGTTGGATAAATTTAATTCATTTATATGGATTCTAATAAGTTTAGACTCAAAAGTTGACATTTTAGTATAACTATTTTAGAAATAGGGAGAGATTTGTTGTGTTTACGGAAATCTATCTGGCTCGTCAAACAACGAAAGAGAGAGAGATTTTGGAAGGATGACATTTCAAAGTGTTTTGTTTGGTGGACTGTTTTCGGCGGGATAAATGTTGAAAGTTTTGTTTAACTCACAACAATATGCACTTTAATTAATTTTACAATCTTCTTGAATAGAAGAAATTTGTTCAAATCTCGATAAAACACACTATCATATCCTTGTGGAAATCTGGAGAGCCATTTGTTTCCATGAACTTTTTAAGAGTGTAACATCAAAATAATTTGTTATTAAGCATTTTTTTTACTAAACTGCTTATAATTAAAGTACTTTTACTTGAAAAAAAAAACTTAATTCTAAAAGAATTTCCGAACATACACTTCATACTTTACTTTAAGGAGATAAAGGTTTCTGAAGAGAAGTCGGTGACTACAGAGGTTGGTCAGAGAAATAAGTATGGTAAAATGGCTGGACGTTGGCTTAGTAACATTGAGATATGTGAAAAAATAAGGAAAGACCTCAAGAGAATAAGTTCAAATACCCGGGTGGCGACCTTCTTAATAAGATATTAAAATATTATGAGTTGACAATCAAATGTTATAGAGCCCAATTAGTGGTCGAGTTGAAACTCCTCAAATGAACTATTTTAATTAGGACGTTTTTTTTTCTTTAATTTAAGTTTTTAACATTAAATTAGACCATATAATGCGTAGTAACGATTTCTTTGTTTAGATTGTATCCCAAAAGCTATGTGTGAAGGGGACCTTCAACGATTGATGTAGGATAATTCATGAGTCTCTTTCTCTTAGGCCACCCTCTCTACAAGTTGTTATCACTCATCCACCCCTTCTCACCTCAAAAATTAGCTACTTCAAGACCTACAACATGAAATACTTTTCTCCCAAATTTATAAATCTAACACTCCACAGGTTTTAAAATCTCCGCCATAAATTTCAAAAAGAAAGAAATGAAGAAAATAGAGAACTCGAGTGCAAAGAACAAGGAAAACCCCTATAACATATTTAGTACTCCAAAACAATAAAGTGAAGAGAGTGGAATAATAACAAAAGAAAACTACTTATAAGTGCTTACTGGTGAGCATTCATCTTTTGCTAACCACGAGTGGGAAAGAGACAAATAGAAAATAAATATATTTGTCAAATTTTTATTGGTGGCCAACGCTTAAGTATTAATCAAAATATAAATTACATACCTGAAAATGGGAGTATGTCGAACTTGCATTTTCTTGGTGGCAGCCGTGTAACTCTGCAACTCCACCTCATAAAGCTCACTCGGGCTCGCTGCAAGCTCGAGCTTTCGATTGCGAAAGGCAGCCACCGGGACCCGAATCAAGTCCCTTGCCGGGCTCGGACTTCTTCTAACCTTGTGCCTGTAAATGGGAGTTCCAAGGTAGAAGATGAACAAAGAAAAGAGGAGACCAACAGTGGGAATGCCATAGCCGAGGCCCCAACCAAGGTTCTCTTGAATGTAGACGAGGCCAAGGGTGGCAAAGAGAGCGCCCAAGAAGGAACTGAACATCCACCAATTGAAGAAGGAGACCTTCATCTGCTTCTCCGTTGGATTGAAGTCGTCGAACTGGTCGGCCCCGAAAGTCGAGATGTTCGGCTTCGTCCCGCCCGCGCCCAAGGCAATGGTGTAAAGAGATATGTAGAAGAATGTTATCTGTGAGGGTGTGGCTTTGTTGCAGATGCCATTGTTGCAAGTGGGTTTCAAGCTCTTTACTGAGACTGCCATTGTTAGAAACACCAATCCCTGGTTCCAAACAAAGATAGTGTTATCTCATAACCGTCGTGGTTTGTGGTCTTTCTTCAACTATATATTCGACTCGTACTAAATGTCGAAGAAGAAAAGAAGAGAAGAAAAGAGAGAGATGATGAAGTGTTACCATAACGTAGATGAGAGATGAGAAGGTGAAAGTCCAAAAGCGACCGAGGAATGAATCAGCTATGTAAGCGCCAAGAATTGGAGTAAGCCACACTGATCCTGACCAATTATTCACATTTCTTACTGACGAAATGGTGTCTTCGTGAAGTTGTGTGGTCAGATAATTTACCAAATTCGAAGCTATCCCATAAAATGCCATCCTCTCGAAAGCTTCATAACCTGAATAAAAACACACACACACAATAAACACTCTTCAACCTCCAAATCTCACAACACAATGAATGATTTCAACAAGGAATAATTCAAGAGTTTGCTTAATTGCTTCATATCAAAACTTCATACAAAATAGGAACAATTTAGAAGAGAAACGGTTTTGGGAATACGAACAATATCCCACATCATTAGAAGAGGGGAAGATGGATGACAGATAAGGACAACATATCTCTGTTGACACGATAATTTTTGGGTGAAGTTTAAACTAAATCTACGCAGATCTCCATCACAAGGAATCAACACTAAAAATTCAACTGCTATTTATTTTTTGAAATGAAAAAAACTTATCTTGTCTCTTTTTTTTAATTCCTCTCTTCTACTCGTAAAACATATAATGGTGGCGAGCGAGAATTTTTAATAAGTAGTTAGGAGCTCTTATGAGCTCAAAAGTTGTATTGGAATCTATAAAAAGTTAGGTAGAAACTTTTTACGCAAGTATTCTCTCGATATAGAAACATGAAGAGATCTGTTATCTAAGAAGAAGCTTACCAACAAGAAAAGCACAAGCCTTCCATTTGCCAGTCTTGGAAGCAAGGACAGGGTGGCCACGGAGGTCCACAGTCCCATCTTGGGTGTGATCTTTGGACTCCATTAGAGGCACCGGGCAAGAGCTCGATCGGGTTCGAGAAAATTAAGAAGGAAAAAAAAACCAGAGAAGGAGAGAGAACCCCAAGTAGTTGGAGAAGCTGAGGGGCTATAAATAAAGAAGAACAAACAAGAACAAAAAGAAAACTGTATGGGTGTGTTTTGAACGGTGATTAGTGGGTGTGGTTAGATACAACAATCTTGGGGACCCCTTTCAAATTTTGACTAAAACCACAGAGRGTGGCTCAACCCACTTTTATTTGCAGTAGTTGATGGAGACCAAACTATGCTTCAAATCACAATGGCCACAGGTGCTTTATAATGGAACCTACAACGAGAGAGATATTAAGAATTTTGGAAAATAGGCGAAGACCGATCGGATCTATGCTGTGCTCACCATCAATAAATGTGTTTAACAAATAAGGGAGATAAATGACCATTTTAAAAAATAATGAACGTGGTTAGGATTGAGATAGATCATCCATAGGTTATATTTTTCTGTACCTAGTTGTTTTACTAAAATATTTAGATCTTCAAGGGTGAGAACGTACTTACTACTATTAAAAGATTGACAGTTCATTGCTTTTTAAAAATTTATCTTTTTTTTTTTTGCATTTCTTTTTTCGAGTTGTGATGGTGGAAGATAAATTATCACGGACTTATTTTCCTTTTCTCGGTCAGAATCTTCACCACCTAAAAACAAGTGGGAAGAGGTTTAGCTAGTGGCTAAATTTTAAGCATGATTCTTTAAGATATAGGGATAGAAGAAGACCAAATGAAAGCAAAAGGGGCCATGTTTTTTTCTTTTTCTTTGATCTTTTTTAGTATAAATAGGTGAATGGTGGGAATTTGAACTCACACCCTTTTGGTCGGAAATTAGACTATACTTACATTGGTGAGAAAAAAAAAAAGACTCATGTTGATGTTGATTTATTTTGGAAAATTGTGATTATTTTGGATCACTTAATAAACATTTTTAGAGGATGGAAGAAGCCTTGAACCTTTTTCCTCTTTCTTTTAAAAAATTTTAGTCCCTATCATTTTTATTGAAATAACAATTTAGTTTGTTTATGTATTTTTGAATTTACAATAAGTGTCTTAATTTTAATATATAACAATTAACTTTAATATATAACAATTAAGTTTCAGGTTTTTTTGGTTTTATTGAAATAACAATTTAGTTTTATGTATTTTCAAATTTATAATAAGTTTCTTTAACTTTAATATATAACAATTAACTTTAATATATAACAATTAAGTTTTTTAACCTGAATGTATAACAATTTAGTCTTTATATATAGTTTAAAAATCGTAACAATTTTGGTTAGAAAAAAAAATCGTAACAATTTAATCCTTATCAAAAAAATATTTTTCTTGATGGGACGAAATATGTTAATAAACTACAAAGACTAAATTGTTATAATAAAAATTGACACCTAATTTTAATAAGAATTTTCACGGTAGGGATTAAATTTTTACAAATTTTAAATTGTATAGACTAAATGATTACATATTAAAATTTAGGGACTAAATTGTTATCCATCTGAAAATATAGAGACCAAATCTTTTATAAACTAAAGTTTAGAGATTATATTAATATTTAATAAAAATACATGGATCAAAAGTATTTTTAACCTTTTTTTTAATAACAAATGTGAGTGAGTGATTAAATCTTTACTCTCACATAAAAGTAATTGGTATCTTATTCAACTAAACTATGTCTGGATTGACAAGATATTATGGGTTAGATTTGGGTAAGAAAGTTGAAATTATGAGTTAGATTTGCTTAAGAAAGTAGAGGGTGTGCTTAGTATGTGAATTTGGTTCAGATACTATAAGTTTATTAACCTCACTATTTATGTAAACTTAAAAAGTTACACAGAGAGGTAAAAGCATAAAAAATACTCATGATTGATATTTCATATTAACTCTTTTAATTAGAAGGATTTTTTATTTAACTTATTCCTTTGTTAATTCAAATAAAAATTATACTTAAATTTCAAATTTCAAATTTTAGGATTCATAAATAAGACTTGTTAAAAATTGTGAGCCAAATATTATGCTTTGTGTTTTTATTATTTTAATCCTACTCTCTGATAAAAATAATGTATCGAAAAAAAGGTACCTCCACCAAATATTCATTCACCAAAGTATGACACTTACTTTTTATCAAGATAAGTGACCACCTACTCAAAATTATACATATATTATATTGTTTATTTACTTATTATTATTATTTTGATTTCCTGAAATCGATGGCAAATCGACGGCATATATCCGTAAATGGGGCTCATTACCTAGGCTGAGTAACACTATGACCACTACAAGACTCAAAGATAAGATTTATATAGTAGGTGATACCACAAGGCTTCATGTCTTTGTCACTACGTCATCCTATATATTTTTTAAAAAAAGTTGTTTCTAAGAAATGATTTACAAAAATCAAGATAAAAAAATCCAAACAATGTCTTATAACTAAATATCTTTGTAATCAATAAGTTGTTAATTGACCTTAAGCTCGATTGAGTAAGACAAGAAATCAAAAAGTGAGTCTTTTCAATGCGAAATCTTTAATAAGAAGAAGTTGAGGTTCACTTATTCCACTCTATCAAAATTCAATCAAGTCAAAAACCAAGCAGTGAAGTTAACTAAAAAAAACTCTATGTCCCGCGCACCTTTTTATTTTTGAAGTTCACCCAATACATTTTCACCTTTGATTATGCTAATGTGCATGTGATGATCAACTCGACTAGTTATCTTCATCCAAATTCAACTTAAAATATAGTAACGAGACCAAAAGTATATTTTAACCGCTTTCCAAGAAACTTAACAATTTCTTTTGGCTTTTCTTAAAAGAAATATTGTAAAAGTGTCCTCGTAAAAGGTGTTAGATATGAAGAAAAGAGCTCTCATAGGAATATGTTTAATGTATTGTAGAAGTTGCAAAATGGGTAGTGGAGTTATCTCCTAGGCAACTTGTGTAATGGATGCCTTGCCGGCCACTCTCACATTTTTACTATAACTAAAACTAGTTGACTCAACCATTTTGCCCTTCTTTTTTTCTCTCTTTTAAATTTTTCCACACTTCAACGAGTACACAATTTAGCTATGGCTACTCATGGCTCGTTTGGTAATATTCTTATTTCTTGTTTCTGTTTCTTCATTTTTAATAAAGAAAAATGAATTGTATGGCTCCAACATCCATGAATTCAAGTATAATCAAACAATCTTTTTATTTATATCTTGGTACAAATGGAAAGTGGGAACAAGAAAGAAGAAAGTTATTTTTGTTGTTTCCCAAATTTCTATATAATTTTGAGAATGTTCCAAAGAAGGATAAAAAATAAGCATAGTTAGTTGCAAAATGCTTAAATTTCTTAATAAAATTGGAAACGAGAAACAAGAAACAGGAACGTTATCAAACCAGTCCTCACCTTTTATGTTCTCTTTTTCTTTGTACGTTGAAATGAATAATAGTTTTTTTTTTCTTTGAAAAAAGTAGAATGTTTTGTAAATACACCAAAAGAAAATAAGGTAAAGAACCGATCTTTTTCACGTTTCTAGTAAAGTCTTTGATTTGTTGTTATAAATAGAAAATTGAAGGAATCAATCTTCTTTGAAGGAATGATATCAAAGGGAATTCAATAAAAACTATTCAAAAGCAAACCTACCTCCTCTTGTTTTGTTCTTTTCGTTTCTTTAATAAAATTGGAGTAAGCCAAAATGAATGGTTGTAATTAGGAGCCAAAATGAATGGTTGTTAGGATTTTCATTAATAGTAGAACTCTTTCATTGGACCAAATTCTTAAAGAAAGAATTCTTATATATTCTCTTTTGAAAATGTATGGCTTAAAGTATTATTTTCCCCGCGTAGCTTTAACTGGTCCATTTTGGTCTATGTAATTTCAAACTGTTCGTTTTAGTAATTGTAATTTCAATTTTCGTTCATTTTAGTCCATGTACAATCAAAATGTTTATTTTAGTTATGTACTTTTAAAAAGTACCCATTTTGGTCCCTTAATTTTATTTCGAATCTCTTTTTTTTTTCCATCACAAGTTCAACATGACAATACATTCAATATATTTTTTGAAATGTAACCATGATTTTATATTAAAAGGTTTCCATTGTATGTAGAATTTGTGCTAAACTTTTATAAATAGGGACCAAAATAGTTATTCTTTCAAGTATGGAGACAAAAACAAACATTTTAAAAGTATATGAACTAAAATTGGGAGTACATAAACTAAAATGTAACAAAGCTAAAAATTACAAGTACCAAAATAGTATTTAAACCTTTTTACGGGTGGTGGTTGACATCTAGAACTTATATACAATTTAGTATTCTAGTTCACTTGACACATGTAGTAATTTGGTACTCTAGTTTATTGATTCAATATATATAATATATATTGCATTATCTTTTAAAATAACTAGAGCTAGACCTTTTCTAGTATAACGTGTGGGGTGGTAAACCACGAACTTTTGTTTTAATCAGTTGAGCTATACTTAAGTTGTTTATATATTTTATGACCTAACTCGTTTAGTAGAGTTTCATATAACTGTAGGATTAAATTAAATTAAAAGGTTGAACTTTATTAATTCTATATGTTGTGTACGGGTAAATTTCACTTTTCTACTCAACACAACTTCTCATAAGATCAAACAAATACTTTAAAAGATATGAACAGATCGACACGTCATATATACCAATAGCAACCCAACTTAATTAGATGGAGAAACCATTCAAAAACACACATTTACCACTATACACAACAATAAAAAACTTTAAATAATAATTATTAAAAGAATAGCATAGTTTTGTAACCACCAACATTTATAAATGTGTTAGCAATTAAGTTCTTAATTATAACCACTATATGGCAAAGAGATTTAATAAGTTACTTCATGCCTCATGTTTTTAACCCCTTTTTGTTCTATTAATTCCTATGTTATCTAACATATAATTAACTGTGTTAAAACTACTCCTATAAAATATTGTGTTAAATATCTTCTAAAAGGGTATAGAAGTAAATTACTAGAAAATAAAGTAGTGCATTGTCCACCAAACACAAAGAGAGCTACTCATTTGCTAGCATCCCACTCTCCCACATTTTTACTGTACTTGGCTCTTCCCTTGTCGCCTCTTGAGAGAAAATGGTTTTAAAAACAAAATGAAAGAAGGAAAAGGAAATAAATATATTGTAAAAAAATAAAAATCACACTATTTGTTAATAGGACAAATAAATTTGTTCTAA